TTTCAAGCTTAAAGCGTTTCTGAATTAAGTTATTTTCTGGTATATCACGAACGTTTTTAATAAAAACAAATCTCTTTAATCAACCGAGACTCTAAATTAAGAAATCAACAAATATTTTTCCAGTTTTGTTGTCTATACATTTCAATATTAGGTTATACTTTTGTATAACATGACATAAAAGCCATTGTCGGAATGCAGTATTATCAAAACGCACTGGCTTTTCTATATATTAGAAGTTGTTACTTTAACTGATTTTTACCAATAATTACTCTATGATTACGTAAAGAATTCATTTCATGAGTGATATTAATTTTGATTGGCTCACAAAGGAATATACCAACGTTTGACTGCCTCGACTGCACTTTTCTGCCTCTTTGTTGGTCAAGCTTGATTTCGCAAAATGTATTTATTTCAGTTAGCTATGAAATGTAAGATTAAGGTATAATATGGAGTGTCGGTGGTAGTACTTGCCACGTCATTTTTTACGGGCTGTACGCTAGTCTTTCAATGATGTTCGGCCACGAAGATACTGAGTTTAGGGGGTTGACCAGACTGTGTTCCTCTGGTACAACATATTAAATTGTTCATGTTCAGGCCACTTGAGCTTCATTAACTGTGACGGATTTACTATTACATATTTATTTTAATATCGATGTTTGTTTAAATTAAATTTATATTTAGAAATGTACATAACTTATACTGTTAAATCTGTATTGCGAAGTTGCCGCCTATTTTCTAAAGTTGTAGAAGATTCTCGAGTGTAAGAATCAACAATATATGTGTGTACGTAAACGCTAGTGTAGCGTCTGTATTGTTGCATAACAGAAATTTCGAGAAACTCTCCACACGCCTATAAATATAACCAACGCGACGCGCCAAAACAAAAAGTATCTATTATTGGTTCGCTGTAGTTGGTATACTATAAACCTCGGAAGCTATAATTGTGATTAACGCTTATTAATTGAGAAACTTCAGATATTTGACCAGGAATATTTATAAATTTCGAACATTATAATCCATTTAACTTCAGTGGATTCACATCGGACGGTTTGCTATAGTTGGTGTGCTATAAACTTTGGAGGCTATAACTGTGATTGTTTTAACGCTTATTTATCGGATGTTACGTATTAGAATTTCGAATAGCCCGAAGCCGAGTTAACTGATAATTTTTAATTTAGTAGTTAAATTGTACTTAGGATTTAGTATATAAATATATGCCGATATATTAGTCAATTTACGATATTTGACAACAAGATTAATACAAACCGTTTTCGTTTTTAACACAAATACGTTTTAATATACACACAACAGTACAATTTACAATAACAATTATTATAAAATTACTACAAACAATGATTTATAAACAAAAGTTTCACAAACTTACAAGCAATATAAAGTTTTCGTTCAAGTCTGGAACTTCCTTGATATCTTACCGAGGGTTTACAATGAGCGAGTTATTTACGAGTTGATGTAGATACGATTCGCTGGGAAGCTAGCTAGCTTTGCCCTTGGCCACACACGCTGTTTTCCATGTTTTCCCCCGTTGAAGTTAGGTAATGTTTTCGTAAAAATACTAATGTCCAATGAGAATCCACTGAAGTTAAACGATTTGTAACGTTCGAAATTTATAAATATTACTGGTCAAATATTTTAAGTTTTCCGATTGATAAACGTTATAAAAATCACAGTTATAGCTTTCGAAGTTTACAGCACACTGATTATAGCGAATCACTAATAGACACTCTCCTTTTGGCGCTTCGCGTTAGTTATATTTATGAGCGTGGGAACGTTTTCTAGAAAATTCAGTCTTACGTAACAATACATTTAAGTGTATATATACATATATTGTTGTTTCTTACTCTCGAGAATTTTATACAACTTTGGAGAATAGGCGCAATACATATTTAACATTATAAGCTACGCATGTTTTAAACATAAACTAAATCTAAACAACGTTTATATTAAAATAAATACATAACAGCAAATTCGTTACACGGAAAACTTAAAATATTTGACCAGGAATATTTATAAATTCAGAAAAAACAAAACATTTAACTTCAGTGAATTCACATCAGACATTCGTACTTTTACGAAAACATTACCTAACGTCATCGGTAGATAAAATCGGCTTGTGATCAGCGAGGACCACAGAGCTAGCTAGCTCCCTATTAAGTGAATTGTTCCTACGTCAACTCTAAATTAACTTGCTCATCATGAACCCTTGATAAGATATCAAAGAAATTCCAGACCACAAATGGCTCGGCATTGCCAGGTGGTTAGGGCACTCGACTCGCAAGCTGTGGGTCGCGAGTTCGAATACCCATCCCACCAAACATACTTGCCCTTTCAGCCGTGGGGGCGTTATAATGTGACGGTCAATCCCACTATTCGTTGGTAAAAGAGTAGCCTAAGAGTTGGCGGTGGGTCGTGATGACTAGCTGCCTTCCCTCTAGTCTTACAATGCTAAATTAGGGACGGCTAGCGCAGATAGACCTCTTGTAGCTTTGCGCGAAATTCAAAAACAAACGAACAAAACCAGACCACAAAGAAGAGTTTATGTTGTTATTTGTAATAACTGTTATTGTCAGTTGTATTGTTGGTTATATATTAAAGCATATCTGTATTCAAAAAGAGATTGCGTGTATCAATCTTGTGGGCAAATATCATAAATTGGATACATATCGGTATTTATTTAACTACTAAATCTAAATTGCAATTTAAATCAATTTTAGTCTATTCGAAATTGTAATACGTAACATAACCCTTTCTTGGCCATCTTTATCGAGCGAACCTGCATAAACTGCGAAGAAAATAGTATTATAGAGCTGAGGAACCAGTTCCTGTATTGCGCAACATACGCGGCCACTACCATGTTTTGTGTAAAGTTTTGGATTGGGATTTGTGGTTTACTCCCTCATTGGCTGGAAAGTAATGTAAATTCGGACACGCTAATGGGGAATTCAGATTACAGCTATCGCAAGGAGTTCAAAAACCCTTTTCAGAATTAACAGAAAGAGAGTACTGAACAGAGGCGTACTGGCCTCTGTGCATTTATGTTATGGCACATGGGCCCTCTCGTAAGAAATGACTGTCAGTGTTGGTGGGATGGTATGGGCCCCAACTCATAATGAAATTGCACGGCCCCCAATAATGGCCAAGTCCGCCTCTGGTACGGAAAAGCTTTGTTTAGGAATCAACATATCAAACATGTCTCCTTGACTCACAGCTAGATGTTTAAAAGATGAAATACAAACACAAAACTAGAATTGAAACTTATAAGTTATTTATGAGAAGTGCGGATTACAAACTTAGCAGAGTGGATGGAATGGTAATTAGTCTTTTCAGCTGGAACGGCAGAAGGGTTAAATGACCAGTTAGAGACCTATGAGGTTCCCGCATAGCCATCCAGAAGAAAGGTAATCAGTCAGCAGCATTCGCCGCCTATGCGATTAATCTTAATCGAATAGCTAGATTGGCTACTACAATTATTATATCACTACAGCTGTAAGGTAAAATGTGTTCGGCAGGATATTACAGCTCAAACCTTGGATCTTCCGGAACGCTAACCATTAGACCCTGAGTAGGGAATGGAACCTGAACTTAATGTCTTTTTTTTTTTGCTGTCGTTGAAATATATTTAAAAGTTTTATATATAAAATTATTTTAATGAGTTCAAAATGAAGGTGGATGATTTCAAAACGTATTTGCTTTGCCATGCCAAAATATTTTGATAATAAAGTTTTGAAATATTTGTTAAGAACTGTAAAAGCAAATATTTGTAATATTGTTAAGCCAAAAATGATAACGTAACATTTTATTATACCTCATTTATTAAATTCATTAAGTTATTCAAAACTAACTGATATTTTAGAAGGAAATGGTGATTATGATAATTTACTATAAACTTAGAATTTTATACGCAACTGATAAAAGACAAAAAGGCATGAATAAATGTTATAACCAGTTAATGAAATGAACATTGAAATATGGTGGTGGACTATGAAGTAAAAAACGCTTTAAACAAACAGTAATAATTCTGACCTAATAAGAAACTATAACAGTTGAGTAAGTTTTATGTCATCAGCCAAATTAGTATTGCTTTAAATTACTTTCCCGTGCACTAAATTTATATAGAAGTAAATTTAAGAATTGAAAGAAATAGAATAAAAAAGTACAGAAAGTATAAATAACACACACAAACTACGATTTCGAAGAATATCATTAAAGATATGTTTACTTTTTTATCAATGTAATTAAGTAAAAGTACCATTTAAAATGCACTGGGTTAAAGTAAAATAATAAATTTTAAGTTTCAGCTTCAAATGTTCAAAAATTATAGGTTTACTGTGTACAACCAAATAAAGCTTGATTTATTTAAGTCCTAATACAATAACAAATTGCCACAAAAATGCATCATTTAGAGCATAACATAGTATTCTTAAGTTATTAAAATTGAAAGACTCACGTTGCTTCAATCAGTATACACAAAGAAACTATTGTCAGCGTAAACAGTAACATTCTATTTTCCATTTCGGAGCGATATCAATAGAATTGACATTTAACCTACCAGTTAACTGAGAAACCGAATTAAAATCAAATGATATCCGGAAAGTAGATAAATACCGCATGGCAACAAAATACACGAGCCTTCGCGTTAAATATATTTTCAGGCAACCTTCCGTGTTGATTCGGAAAGATCTAATTGGTTAAAATCATTTGTGCGTGTGTGTGTGTGTGCGTTTTTTTTCGGGTTAAAATACATCACATAAGTATAATTCTTTCAACGCCCGAATTGGGGAAGTACGTTGAAAACATAAACATCCACAGTACATGTGAATATCTTAGAATTTCTTAGACATCAGTTATATTACATGGAACTTGAAAGAGAATACTGATACAGTTCCTGGAAACGTACATATATAGACATCAAGACATAAATATAATAATATAATGAAAATGCTGTATTCATAGTAATTATAGTAAAAAAAAAAAACAACACACACACACACACATATATATATATATATATATATACCGTAAATGAGGTAGTTCCTGTTATAAATTAGCAAAGTAATGTCATAATAATACATAATTAATTTTTTAAAAAAAAAGAAAGAAGAAGCTTTTATTTTTTTGTAAAATAACTAAGTTTTATAAATGAAAAGAAAAGGCATGCAAAAAATCTCAACTGAATAGAACATTAAAAAACGCAGTTCAAAGAATTAAAGTTTTGTTTACAAATAAACCAAGTAATGTTTTTCAAAACTTTTTAAAAAATTAATACAGTTAAAAGAATATATACTAAATGGGTTAAATGTTATTTGGATGTTAAATGACATAACACTCGAAAGTCAATTGTTGGCGTATATTTATTATTTCGCAAAATGATATCCAGTATGTATAATTCTTCAGCTGGTTAATAAAAACAACAACAAAAACATCTACCCGGGAAAATTCTTGTTAAACAGCAAAGAGAAAAAAAAGGAAGAACAATTTCCTGTCTTCAGCAGCAAGTTATTTGGAAAATATCCTGGCCTCACCTATCTTTTCGTCCAAGAGACACTATTGAAAGTAAGCGTAAATAGTTGTTCTAATGAAGAAATAAGATACATAAGAAAAAAGCTGTAATCTCATTTTATCAAAATATTTAAGAGATAAAATCACTTTTTTTATACGAGTCAAGATCAAAAATTTTATTTCATGATAAAAAAAAAATTATTTGTAGATTATTTTCACACCGTTTTGTTTGTTCGTTGTTAATTAAGCACAAAACTACACAATGGATTATTTGTGCTATGCCCACCATCGAAACCCGGTTTTCAGCTTTATATTATTAGACTACAGACTTATAACATCTGTGGGTTTTTACAGATGATAAAGTAACAACTATAAAAAAATCTGTAGAAATAAAAAATTAACTAACCAGGAACTGCACCCCCCCCCCCAATCCAATGTCTATTATTCATATTGTGGTTTTAAATTGTAAATAGGATGATCTACATTAACTTGATTATTGGTATTTTCCAAAACAAGAAACGGCTTTCGTAACTTGGATTTTTTTTATTTAGTCTTCATATTGGTTCAAGGGGGTTTGGGGTTATCGGGACTACTTACACCGTTACACGGATTTCTTTAAAAATTTATAAGAACATGTAAATAGTCGTTCAAAACGAGATGTTAATTATTATTATTATTGTTTCAGATAGTTGTTTCTTGTGAATGTTCACATGCGATTGACTACTTATGGATTATACTCTATTGTATAATCGAAAATAAAATATATTGAATTCAAATACGTAGCACATTTGTCTCCTCACAAATCTGTTAGAATTCACTGGTAAACGTAAGTAGTTCAATCAGATATTGACGAACAGACCGTTTTTTCTATAACAAAGATTATATAAGCAATTGCTAAATCATTTTGCAGTGTCTGATAGCCACACGCTTCAAACATAAAACTGTTCATAAAACACCAGATTATTTTTTTTGTTAGCAAGAGAATACCTTTTTTTACGTCGCAACCTCAGATATTGATATATGTATTTATTAAAAACATCATCATTAGACTATTTTCCATGTATGCAGGACTGGATTTCCCCTGTCAACACTCGCCTCACTTTAGTAAACACATAAGGCAAAAATGATATGTTAACACGTGCACTAGCGTATCAGGAGTCACATTTCTCCAGTATCTGATTATCTGATAAGTATGAAGCAAGAAAGTTAAGCTTAAAAATAAAGGTTATGGCTTGAACTATAACATATTAAACTTTACTACCATAAGAGTGGTTGAAGAATTTGCGAGTATGAACCCTTTCTTACTGTATTCTTGGTTCCTTTTAAAATGAGTAAATAAAAAATATCTGTCTATATTTTTGTCCCATCGAAAATCAACCAGAAAACAACTGCTAAAATAAAAAATAAAAAGATTTGGTGTTCGTTTTATAATTTCCTTTTTGCATTTAAGTTGCCTTAATATTTACTGATTCCCATCAACATAGAAACATGTTTATCTATGCATGTTAGGATTGTTTGTTTGAAGTTAAGCACAAAGCTACGCAATGGGCTATCTGTGCACTGCCCACTATAGGTATCGAAACCCGGTTTCTAGCGGTGTAAGTCCACAGACATACCGCTGAGCCACTAGGGGGGGGGGACATGTCAGGAAAAAGTCTAAAGTTAAACGAGCTACAAATCAAATGACAGACTTTCTAACATTTTGCAGTATCTATGTCAAACTTGGTCAAGGCCAACCCAATATTCGGCAGGGCCTTCGAAAAATATGTTTCAACATATAAAAAATGGCATTGAAATTACTACTTTTGATTTTTTCTAATAAATATAATGCAAAATCATAAATAATATTCAACGTTAAACTGGTACACAGTTTAACATTGAATATAATTTTGATTTTAACTTTATACACAAGTGCGAAAATACTATAAATATAATGCAATTTAATACTTTTTGAAGATGCACTTAAAAACAAATTATTGTATCGTCAGAGTTTAGGTAAAAAGCCAATTTTGGAAATACTTTGCTTTCACAAGTCACATTATTATAAGTGTAAGATTTAATTTTATCCTTTTTAAATTAGTTTTAATATTGTGATATTACGACATTAATGTTCAAAACACTAAATGATGGAACTATAATTGACTAAACTTTCCTCGTTTATTTGATATTCTTGCAGAGCTACTTAAGGGCCATCTACTGTATTCGTCTCTAATTTTCAAGTTATAGACTAGATAAAAAGCAACTAGTTAGTAGCACCTACCGCCGTTATTGTCAAACCCAATACGAAGATTTGGCCGTCAACTTTATAACGCACCTAGGCTCCTAAATGCGATTATTTTTGTAGTAACGCACACGAACCACTGAACAGCATTCTGGAAAAAGTCAGCTAGTCAGCAACACACGCCACCAACTCGTGGATTACTATTGTATTGTCGAATAGTGTAATTTCATCATCACCTTTATAACATACCCATGGCTCCAGAGTACGAAGCGTTATTTATTTTTTGGTAATGGAACTCGTACATTGGAGTGAACATCTGTAGTCCGGAATGCTAACTACTGGTTCCTGCTCTAACGCATATTGTAACATACAGGTAACAAATCTATCTTTGTTGCTTATTACACGTACAAATACTTCAGTTCTGTAGGTAATGGCCTAAACAAACCACGGAATTTGTTTTGTTGGTTCCTCAATTAAAAAGTGTTACTTCTAGGTAGCGTATCCAATACCCATTTATAACTTAACAAACTATATTTCAAAACACATTTTGTGTGCAATATAGACTTATTTAAGCAAGAAATTCAAAGAAAACATTTTCCACCGTATTTTCATAATGCTTGCAAAATAGGGTTAAAACTCTTCAACAAAAGAAGAAAGCAAGAAAATACTTTCAAAAAAAAAAACTACTGCAATAGTTATTCATAAAACCCCATGCAATAAACAGTCGTAAATATTTCTCATTATTCTGTGGATCCAGAATTGTTGTTATAGATTGACTGGTCAATTTATTAAAACTCCATTTATTTGAATATGCAAGAAAGTTTGATCATGTGAGGTTTCGGGTGATTGATTGAATCCTACAAATGTAAACATATTGTCTTATCAAAGTTAATTTACTAAACGGTGGGTAAGGAAAAATATCTTTCCAACTTAGAAAAATGTTTGTCTATCAGTAGGTGTTCAAAGGAATATCTCACCAGAAACCTGCAACATTTCTAATAATAAAAAAAAGAAAATTACGTTATTCCCAATCGCTGGTGATGCATCGTGGGTAAAGACGATTGGACAATATGTCAGACTGTGTTCCAACTGATTGATTTCTTCAAAGCTGATAATAATATCTCCAACCCTCCCACGTGAAAGACTTTAACAAAGGTGATGTAATACGAAAGACCATAACCAGCCTGAAAGACCCTTATCTCAGATGCAATAAAAAAGGTACTGCTTCCGTAGTGCTTAAATTACAAATTGTGGGCAACAAATAACTTCATCTGTGTGACAAGAACTAAAAATACAAACGTCCCCTTTCCTGTAATAACAAAAAAGGGAAATATGAAGAAAACTACTGGATACTTAACCCTGTTTATGATGTTATTGTACTGTCGACTACTGGAGTTGATGTAATAGTTAAAGAAAAACATTTTGTGGTAGGAAATAGGCCATTAGGATCCTTTTAAAGGTTTGTTTGCTTGAAGTTGAGCACAAAGCTCCACAATGGGGATCGAAACCCGGTTTCTTGCGTTATAAGTCCGCAGACATACCGCTGTGCCACTGGGCTATTCTATTGCCAGTAGTTGCGCCTACTACACAATGCAAAATTCTCACCTTGACAAAAAAGGGTGATTCTAAGACGACAAATACAAAAACCTATCATGCTAACTTTATTAGAAATTAGTTTGAAAAACATGACAGTTATTTGGTTATCTTCCCTGAACAGTATGTTCACCGGACGTGATAAGCTTTACCACATTCGCCACTGCAATTTTCATTGACCTTCTAGCACAAAACTACACACAAACGAACTACAAATCAAACAAGACCTCCGAACATTCTGTGTCACGTTGGGTTCACACCATTGTTGCAGCGATAGATGGTCCAACTCGATATTGTGTAGGGCCTTAAAAGTAGCCTCTCAGTATATATCAATTTATATGGTTGTCAGAAAGTAATGGACGTTCTGCTGTTACATATACTAAAATGTCAACTTTACTAGAAAACCGACAAAAGTTTAGTTCAACTTGTTTAATTGCAACCCTTAATAAAGTCTCATTTCACTTATGTGTACACGCGAATATTCTTTAGAAGGTAATTCGCAAACTGCTTTTGTCATGTTACAGGATATCTTTAGATTGAGCCAAAACCTGCATTTGATTTAAATAGTACTTTTATTTCTCCGAAAGGTGACAGAGGGCTCCCTGGAGGGGTCACCTTTTTAAACCACTGGTACCACTATACGGTCTGTCAGTCAGTCAGTAGACACAAATGACGTCACATAAGGGACGCTTAACGTTGCAATTTGTACTGTCGTGACATCAGTAAAACGTGCGCATGTCATGAATCACGAGAAGAATTATGCACTCTATAGGCTACAACACAGCATGACATATGGGCTTCAAACTGAAGAAATGAAAATATTTGTTACTCTTAATTTTGGTTTTATTTACTCTTGAAACAGAACATTTTCGGGGGCCCTGTGCAAGTACATCTAGTATTAACATTATGGGAGGTTAAAAAAATGTCCAGAAAATACTTTCATACAAGTTTTGTTTGATTGTTTTCTTGAATTTCGCGCAAACCTACTCTGCAAACTGTTCCAAATCTTGAAGTGATAGACTAGAACAGTGGTCGGCAACTTATGACCCGCGGGTCACTAAGTAAACTGCGGCAATAATTTGGCTGACCCGCCAAAAGTTGGCTTCACCATTGCAACCCGAAAAGGCACAATCATTGTTCAGTTCAAACTTCTCGGCTATGTCAGAAGAACAACGATATTAAAGGAAAGAGTCACGGCTACTGAGAATTTTAAGATCAATTTCAGGGAAAAATATCAAACTGGTCGAACTATTAATTTTTTTTGTATGAAAATAAACATACACATTTAAAATACATGTACCGTTATTAATAATTATATGATTATCACTGACCCAACACAATGCTAAATTTTTCAACAAAAAAATAATTGACCCGCGATCAAAAAAGGTTGCCGACCACTGGACTAGAAGGTAGTCAGCTAGTCAACATCACCCACCGTCAAACCTTGGGCACTCATAAGTGAGTGTTACGAATTTGTTATTATATATTAATTTTAACATCGACATTGTTTAGATTAAGTTTATATTTTAAAACATACGAAGCTTATAATGTTGAATATACACCTGGAAAAAAGTTAAGCACCCCCAAATATTTTTCAGGATTGCTTATTGAAAATAAGGTTTAATTTTCTATGATGTTGAGCAATGGTCATAATTTCTAAACATAATTAAAAGGTAATGTGAGCGTTCTAGGTGTGACATTTAAATTACAGGCGCG